TTCACCCCCATGAGATGCCCTCACACTCCAAAGAGGAAAGGAAATAAATTCTCACATTTAATCTGCTAGTGTCTAAAGGGAGAGATCCAGGGCTACCGTTGCTTCTTTGGAAAGCCAGTGCTACTGTCTTGGGCAGAATTTTGAAATAGCTAATCGGCTACCATGATGTAATGCTCTCTGGAGACCATAGACTCTGCTTGAGGATCAGACATCAAAACGAGGGTCATTGACTCTAACACACTTTTAGTCAGAGTGAGACAGGGCAGAGAGTTGAGTTTTAAATAGCATTGGAGGTAAAAATAGGAGGTCTCCAGTAGGCTGCAAATTTAGGTCATGCTTGAGACAGTGAAATCCCCCCACAGAAAGAAGACCCATGGAAAAGACAGTCTGGGGATGTGGGGGGCTAGACCTCTACATTGGACGGCTAGACCCAGCTGTCCAAAGCAGCTTGGTGACCTTGTGCAAGGTGAGGAGTCTGTCAGGCTGCTGCTTTTCCATCTGCTGCGACACCTTGTTTAGGAAGGCCGAGCACCCTGTGTACCATTTTAGTGAGAAGAATGCTGGGTTCGCTCTTTCTAGGTGGCCCACCAGCTTATCACTACAAAGTCAACCAATGAGCTTCATTTTTAGGGTAGAAAATGATGAGGAACTGGAAAGATGGCTTGATGGGCAAAGTCCTTGCCGATGGATCAGGCATGAGGACCTGAGCTTGCATCCACAGCACCCAAATAAAAGCTGAGTGCTGTTGTATGTGATTGTAATCCTAGCCCTGGGGGACACAGAGACTAAAACGGTAAACCCAAATTCGGGGAGAAACCCTTCTCAAGAATGAATGAATGAATGAGGTCAAGAGTGAGAGAGGAGGACACCAGATGTCAACCTCTGGTCTCTGTATGTGCAGGATAAGTCTGTGCATTGCACATACATATACACATGTGATCTCCACCCTCAGATCCTATTAGGCAAGTTGTCAATTTCTATGGAGAAAGTGAGTCAGGGGACTTTGTCTAGTCTAGCGAAGGTAACAATTCTTGACAGTATTGGGGAATATTATGTTAAGATGTGATGCTTTTGTTCATATTGCATTTGTTTAACTCTGTGAAACTGTGATACTTTGCCTGTCTAGAACACCTGGTGGTCTAATAAAGAGATGAACAGTCAATAGCAAGGCAGGAGAAAGGATAGGTGGGTCTGGCAGGTGGTGAGAATATATAGAAGGAGAAAACTGGAAGAAGGGATTTAGAGAAGTAACCAAGAAGGAGGAGCACATCAGGGGCCAGCCACCCAGCTACACAGTAGTCTACCATGTAAGAGTAAGACTCACAGCAGTAAGAGAAAAGGAAAAGACCAAAGCCAAAAGGAAGGTGGGGTGATATAAGTTAATAAACGTGAGTAAGAAACGAGTCAAGCTACAGCTGGGCAGTTATAACTAAGAATAAGACTCCAAGTGTGATTCTGTTGGGAGCTGGGTGGCGGGCCACCCAAAAAAGTCCAAAGAGCATAATGACATCATTGTACTACATGACAGTCTCCAGTAGAGTTGGTTACTTAAAAAGAAGTGAGCATATTTCTTCAAGGGCTGAGTGAGGAACATTCTAGAAAGAAAAAGATTGAATTAATTTTAGAGGTTTGCTGCTGCGGGATCCTATCTAGAGGAGGAGATGATCCGTGCTACAGAGCACTATCAGGAGGGTGGTATCTTAGCTGCCTAGACTCCAGGGCAAGAGCATTGTGAGGAAAGGTGGGGTCATGTACCACGTGTATCTAAAGATAGAAGGAAGTTTATCCTCAGCCAGGATGATGGCCAAGGGATTCTAGGATGTGAGGCTGTGTGCTCAAAGAAGAAAAGTGATGTTGGAAGCTCCGGGGCTGGGCAGATCCCAGATCAGCAAGAACTGCAAAATATCAGTTGACTTCCCAGCTTTGGGAAAATTTCCTGTGACATCACTGCTATGCACATCAGACTCCTTTTTTTTTCTTCTGCATCTGGAGACTGAGCACCTGTGTGATCTCTTGAGTCCAAGGAAAACCTAAGAGTTCCTCAAAGGCTGTGGCCAGGTAGAGTAGGAGATAGATGAAGAACTTTCTGATACGTTATGAAAACAGGACACAGATGATTAGCCACAGAAATTAAATGAATTTCTATGCATTCCCAAGCTGGTGGCATAGTTCCATCCGGCACACATGTAACAAGACTTGTGTGTTCTGCCTGCACAGGTATTTGGGGGATAATTTGACTGTTATCTGGGTTGAGTCAGGTCCCGGTACACTGACGAGCTGAGATAATTATAACTTCAACAGTCTTCCTGGGAAACCATCACAAGGCAACATTGTCCTGGAGAGGTGGTGGGCTGTGTAGGGCACAGACAGAACACAGCCCAGGACCTCAAGCACATACAGCGCATGAGCAGCAGGTGATGATTCTATGGAAGGACAAATTGATGTGGGCTCCATCATTGAGACTCCCGTGGGTAAGAAACAAGCCCCTTTGTGTATCAATATGGAGAGATGTGTTTCCAGTTTAGGGACATCATAGAAGCCTCCTGTGCAAGAGACTGGCCTAGCATATCCCAAGGAGTCCTGGCTGCAAGGTGCGATAGGGTGAGACACACCTGCACCAGCCAGGAAGAAGGCAAGGTGACAAGTGCCACCTCAGTTCTTGGTAGCCATGGAAATATTGTCAGTATACTTCTGTGAAAAGGGCATCAGGGGAGCACACGATGCAGAGAAGCAAGGAGACACTGCCTGTAGGGAGAGGGGATGGACAAAGTTGGCCTTGGGAAGGAGGCCACCACCCAAGCCACCTGACTGCAGGGTTTCTGTTGCTCTTGGTGATAAAACCACCGGAATACTTTGCATTATGTCCTCCCCACCCCCACCGTGCCTGCCACGTAAAAAATGATTTTAATTTGTTTAGTATTACTCTGGGTGTGTGCTCATGGGCATGCGTGAACATTTTGTGGAGGCAGGAGTGGGCATTATCACCCACCTGTGGAGGTCAGAGGACAACTCTGTGGATTTGGGTCTCTTTATACTGGTATGTGGGTTCTGGGAATTGAACACAGCCGTCTGGCTTGCAGGGCAAGCACTTCTACCTGCTGAGCCATCTCTTCCCTCCTACACAGCTGGGGCTTAGTCATCCCTATGTCCGCCCTCCTGGGCTCTCAGGAAGTTCTCACTGTACTCTGCGTCTTTTCTGAGGTTAGAGGACCCTCGGGGCTGCAACCTCCTTGCCTCCTGGTTTGTAACAGATACATTTCAGAGATTACCAAGGCATTTGGACAGAAACACCTGTTTTATGAAACTCATGTAAACTGTGGATCCAGCAACTGACTAGTCTATTTTCACATTGGGGGTTTTCGTAAACATCAGTGCAATGTCAAGAGAACTCTGGGCACACCCATTCCTGCATGGTAAGACTGGAGCTGCTGCAGGTTCTTTCATTCCCCCCCCCAACACACACTCATCATGCTTCCAGACCATTCCAGAATCTCTTTTAGAGCTTTCCCATCGAGCCTCTGAGGGGTTCAGTCCAAGCAAGGGATGAGGTCACTCTTGGCTACCCTGGGACTCAACTCTGAGAAAATATCTATGGCTCTTTCTGCCTCGATTTTCTCAGCTGTAAAATGGAGATAATGACCCTGGCCATAAGCCTCAAAGCCCGAGTCTAAAAGGAGCTAGCTGCCTCTGCCTGGAGGGCGATGGTGCCCTGCCTTTGTGGGCAGGGTAATTTGGCAGGTTTATGGAGAAGGTTCTTTTCACAGATGTCTTTTCTTCTTGATCCTGACCAGTGACTCACTTCTTCTGATTTACATGCTTGGGCAGTGTTTTACCGTACAATTCCTTCCCATGGTTGGCTCACCCTTCCCTGCACGCTGGACCAAGGAAGGCCTTGTGGGCCATCCCTACCATTGTTAAGTGGCACAGTTAACTGTCTTGGGGGGTCACTTGAGCTGTTCAAGGTCCCATAGGAAGTAGCTAGCGGAGGCCAAAGAAGCACAGGTTTGTGAGCAAATATTCCAGATTATTTAACACTTGGTTCTGCCCTCTGTCCTATCGGGCTGTGTATAACAGACAACCCTCCAGAGCCTTGGTTTCTCTCCTTGTCTCTCAGCGACCATCAGAAGGTGGAATTTGATTAGAGATAGAATGCCACCTTGAGAGAGAGAAAGCCAAGAAGGTGGGCAAGAGGTGGTCTTGTTACCAAGCCCATGCTAACCAGGAAATCCAATGGGGGGCCAGGGCTGGAGTGGCAGCTTGCCCTCTTGGGCTCCCAAAGGAGCGTTTTCTGTTTTCTGGGCTGCACCCGGCCACCCCTAGATGGTGCTGGTGCACCGAGCAGCGCCCCAGCACGCCCCGCCTGGTTGCTCTGGCTTCCAGGCTGCTGCAGACGCCTTGGTGGCGGGGCAGGGACAAAGGAAGCAGCAGGGCGCGGCGACCCCTAGGCCCACAGGGACCCCTACAATACAGGGCAGTGGATCCCTGTAGATGGGATCCCTGAGCCATCGGGATGGGAGGAAACGGGGAGTGGTTTGGGTCTGTGCAGTGCCCTGTCACCTTGCCAACGCCCTTTAGGGCAGCAGGTACCAATCAGTATCTCCGGGTGCTGCAGTAGGACCCACCCCTTTCATACAGGACTCTGGAGGGGACCATGCTCTAGAAAACCAAAATTCCACTCGGGGTTTGACACTGCTAGACTATGGGTCCATAGACTTGGGGTTGTAGGAGACAAGGGCTGTAGTGAGAATCTGTGGGCAGCAGCTGAGTCCCTGCATTGCCATCAGTCTTTCTGTCTGTGAAATGGGCAAGGAGCAGCCTGTCCCGCCTTCTTCCCTACTGTCTCCCTCCAAGAGCCCTGCACCCTTTCTGAAGGCCAGATCCTGCCCATCCACAGTGGAAGAAAGGAAATTCAGGCTTTCCCTGGAGGAGGTTCAGGGCAGAGACCAAAGGCAGGCATGTGCTACACTCAAATTAGGTGGTTAGAGGAAACTCACCTGGGAAGCTGTTTTTCACGGCGCCCTGGTAAACGCATGGTCAGCTTACATGTGGCGATGGTCTCCAAGGGAGCACGAGTGGCTAGCCCTTCGCTTGGAGTGTCTGCAGGCACCTTCAGCTCCTCTTCCTCGCGTGCGCCAGTGCGCTACACTGGTTGTAAGGACAGTTGCGAGTTTGGTGGATTCGAACCCTGTTCTACCCACTTGCCAGCAAGTTGGCTTCGGCAGACTGTCCTCTAGCCTCTATTCTTCCATCTGTAAAGATGAAGATTAAAGTTTGCTTTTACATTCCGGAGCCTGACTAAAGGCTGGAACCAGGCAGAGATGAGGGATTCGGCTAAAGGATCCTAGTCAACCTGTTGGACCATCTTGATGCAGAGTCGTAGAGTTGCCTCCAAAGCCCTGGGATCGAGCCTAGCATCCCAAGGAGCACCAGGCCACCTCTACCTCCTCCACAGTTCATGTTCTTACTGGTAACTTTCTGCTAGTCCATAAAGGTGCATATGGTATAGGTTTAGGGCATTTGTTTGGGGTACAGACTACTTAAAACCCACCAGACTAAATTCTACTCATATTAGGTATATGAACAGGACAAGTGGTCTGTGTTTCAGTGACCTTAACTGTAAATTTCAGTTGGAGCAGACTAAGGGGTGGCAATAGCTAAATCTAAACATGTTGACTCTAAAGAAGTTATTTTTCTTAAGAAAAAAAAATCCTCCAGTGTCCTTTCAGAGCAGCAAAGGACTCTGTTGTAGCTGTTCAGAGGGACTCAGGCAGAGAGCTGATTGTCAGCCCCTGAGGTAAAACATAGAGGGGTAACTTGGAAAAAACATGTGTCTTCGATTCCCACTCTACAAACACGAAACAGAGAGAACTCACTGGGAGAAGCATGGGCTTTTGAAACCTCAAGGCCTCTATGCCAGTGGCGCCTTGCCTCCAACAAAACCACACCTCTCAATCCTTCCCAAACAGTTCCACTAACCAGGGACCAAGCATTCAAATATATGAGCCTAGACGGGACCATTCTCATTAAAACTAACATACTTATTAAAAGTGTGTTTTTCTATTAAAAAAAAACTGGATGACAATAAAGTCAATAAAATCCACAGAGACATTAAGCAAAAGTTAATGAGTATGTTGCATGGAAACAGGTACTCATAGTAAAAGTGGTGACATCTAGTAAGTCAATCCCACAATTTGCTTTTGACTGCATTGACAGAATGCGTCTCGTGGAGGGACAGTGGGGTGGCACAAATGGGTTTCCAGGAGGCTAACGTTTTAAAATGCCTACCTGTTTGCTCTTCATGGCACCTCACTCCTAGTACACGGATACAAGGAAGTGAGAGTTTGACCCAGGAAACACTTCTCCCAGCCTGCTCCTTCCTTTCTGAGCTCGACCCTGGATCAATTATGTGCTGTGTTTCTGACCTGCTACGTATCTTCAGTGTCAAAGACGATAGCCACGGATTTTTATCTGGAGATCAGAAATGACAATGTTAAGAAGTGAGGAAAAACACTGGAGGTCAAGATGATAGAGCACTTATTATAATCTGATAACATTGTAGAATCTTGATCAAATCTCTATTTATCTGTCTTGTTTATTCCATGCTCAAACTCATGACAGCAAGAGAGTATATATGTTATGTATCTATTAAATAGCCGTTATATCTACTATGTGTAGTATATTCATTATATATTATGCATAAGTTATATATATATACACACATATAGTGTATATCCATTTTCTAAGAACCAGTAGTATGTCATTAAATAGTTACCAACCAGCTCCTTAGGAAAAAATACATATATGCATATGTGTGTTACATAGATTGGTATATTAGTTGAATATGAATTTACTAGTACAAAGTATATACAGTTCACAGTGTATACATGATAAATATATGATGTTCTTTGTGATAAATTTCCTCTAGCCACTTGATGCTTATGGAATATGATGCTTCCATTGATTTTTGCCAAACTCTTGTATCTGCTGCCAATGGATGATAGCTATTGACAAGCCATGCACACAGCTTAGACATGAATGTTAGCTGATAGTCTCACTTTGGTTAACGCGTGAGATGGGAGTGAAACATTGAATATGTCTTTCAGGATCCCATTCATTCCCCAGTCACACACACAACCCCTTAACTGACTCAGAGTATTGTTTTGGAACACTGAAGTAACATTCCCTCAAGCTGTGTGTGTGTTACTCACAACGCAATTTGCATTTAACACCTTATCCACCACTCCCTTCTGTCTAGATAATCCACAAATCAATAAGTCAGGCTTTGGTTTGTAAGGACTGAATGTGTGCATGGTGCAAATTCTTCCACCCTTGACCAATTTAAATCTAAGGTGAAAAGATATGCCTACATCATTGCATAGTGCAAATAAACTTGAGACTATAGAAAATAAATTAGAAATTCTAGAAAAATAATTAGCAACTGATGGCTTTATATAGTTATTGCTGCTTCACTATCATTTAATTGTAAGATATATAATTAAAAGTTTTAACAATGGATTTAACAACTAGATCACAAAATTTCTGAGAATTTCACCATCAGTTCCTGTTACTCCTTGGTATTACCTAGTAAAATATAGGGGAAAAGAGACAAAAGGCAGGGAGGAAGAAAGGCAGTGTTTGGGGAGATTTGGTTTCAGCGGAACAGGATTCATTTGTGCCAACAGAAACTATCAGCGTGGGCACCAAACCCTTTGAAAATCTTGCCTCAACAGAAGTCCGTTCTATGCCCCAATTTTGCTTTCGCCCAGACGTGTATAATAGCTCAGCCTCTGGCTATGGCTTGCATTCAGCTTCCCCATTCACCAACGTGGAGTGCGCCTTGAAAGACACTGTCAGCTGGGAGAAGAGGGCACTTCTCCACAACTGATTCTTCCCACCCATCTCCTCGCTAATTCTGTCCTCCTCTGAGAGCAGAACAACAGGCAGCCACTCTTTGTTCATGATGCTATGAGACTCCAAGATTTGGTCCTGTCCTAATTTTATACTGAAATTTCATTCCCAATAAAACAATATTAAATGTTGGGTCCTTTGGAAGCTGGAGGGCTCTGGTCTCATAAACAAGATTAATGTTAGGCAAAATGCCTGGACTTTGTCCTTTTGCTTTTCTTGTCCTGTGAGGGCCCAGAGATGGCACATCTCTGTATAACAAGTCGCTTCAAAGATGGGAGCATTGATCTTGAACTTTCCAGTCTGTAGCACGGACAGAAATACCTTCCCATAGTCTGTTATTTGTGTTGTTTATTAATCCGATATCTTGTTATACTAGCAGGGATGGACTAACACATTCTGTCATCACCAGTTGTATCTCTCTGAGTCCAGATAATGAAACATTGTGGTCCTTAACGTCAAGGAAGCATGAATGATGTCATGTGATCCAGAGAAGAAAGCTAGACCAAGTTTTCCTCCTTGCTGAATCTCCCCACTGGCACCCTTCCAGGCAGGACCCAGACATTTTGTTTCAGTGTCTTACAGGTTAGACAGTAGGAAATTTGTCTGGTGAGAAAACATTTAAAGGAACTCAGAAGGTCAGCTGCACCTGCCTTTAAACATTTCCCATCCTTACTTAGCCCCTTGGAATTCAAAGCCCTCAGATTTTGCTACCAGCTGAGAGTTGGAAAAGGCTTTGGGGGAGATACTTAGTGCAATACTCCTGCCAGAGAAGAAAACCTGGACTCAATGAGGGAAAAATCGGTTGCCTGAGACCATGCATAATGACAATCACAAAGCCATCAGTAGAGCCCTACTCCTTCCTTAGAGGCACAGCCAGAGACCTGTCCTGGTACCTGTCTTCTCTTCTCACAGAGTAGGCAATAAGAACAATCTTGACTCTAATGCTCAACGACCCCTGGATTGCCCTCTTCATCTTTTCTCAAGTCTCCGTTGTAACCGTCCATCATGTCTGCCCTCCACTTTCAGCTCAGGAGACGCTGAGTTCTTCAGTGATAGAAACTACAGCCCAGTCATCTCTGATGAACTGGGAAGAACACAGGCTCGGAACCCAGAGACTGGAATGTTTAACCCATCCTAGCCTGGCCATGCGGCTGGAGTAAGCTGTTTAATACCCTGCCTCTGAACTCCATCTTCTGTAACTGCAGAGCCAGCAAGACGACGGCTCATTACAGGAATCTTGAACTATTAGCTATAGTGACAAATACAGGCTTCTTAAGACTATTTCTGGCTCCTGGGGGGTCATAATGGTCATATTTCTAGTGGACATGGCAAAGCCCAGCAGAAAGAGTACAGAAAAAGAAATTGAATCTATGAAATTAAAAATTATTGAATACACGCCACCAACCCTACCTCGTTTTCCTCCCAAGTTTTTCACCACGCCTCCTGGAACTATCTTAGCTCATCCAATTATTTTTTTCAGTCAACACGTATTTGGTTTGCACCTTCAACCTCATCCTCATTTAATATTTCTTAGATGTGTATCTCAGTTATGCTTCTTAAAGCATAACTCAAGGTCAAGACTTGGGGCTTACACATCCAAAGACATTCAGCAAATGCCTGATTGTTCAAACACATAAAACACACATGGCTTAATAGGTGGAACAAAAAAAATCATATTTTAAAAATTCTCTTCTTTTATCTTCTAACCTTTCAACTGGTTTCTATATCCACTATATTCAGATCTTTGGTAAATTTTTTTAGCAAGTTTGCATTGTTAATAATTTATTCCTGGTATTGTTAAATCCTGTGAAAGCATTATTTGATTTAACCACTTGAATACCTCTAGCTAAAAAAACGACTTTGTAAGGTATGGTTGGAATATTTGATGTTGTATGTGTTGTGGGTGTGTGCATTCTCTGATAAGAATGTCCACGGTAGACCCTATTAGCACCTCACATTTGAAGTAACTTACTGCTCTGACCCTCTATGATGAGTCATTGAACTTTGTGCTTTGTTGAGACAGGGGAATGGACATTTCCCTGAGCACAGCAACATGCACAGGGGAGGCCACAACAGCTTTAGGTTTTCTATACGCAATGGAAATGAAACAAGTATTGCCTGCCCACTTTTTAAGTGTAGGAAACAGAGTCACAACTCAGTGAAAGTCTTCATCCAAGCGCAAGCCTTGGGATTCTTGGGGTAACTGACGTCCCATGGCGCTCCCTCAAATGACTAGTCACAGACCCTCAATCAAAACTGATGGCGATTTTAGAAAACTAGGACACAAATTTGAACGTGGTTCATGCACTTATTAAAACCTCCTATAAATTCACCATTCGTTCATTCATTTGTTCATTCAATAACTATTAAGTTGGGACCTTCTTCATGCTTAGTGTATGTTCTATCATTGAGCTACATTCTCTTCTCCACTAAACGTTTTAATGTGTGCACTATGTTTGGTGTATGGCAGAATCTCTGCCATTTAGGAACTAATATTGATGATTTGAATACAGGGGATGAACAGTAAGGGACAACAAGTATATAGGCTAACTATTGACTGGTAATACTGTCCAAGAGAGAGAACTGAATCATTTGAAGAGGGATCTAGGGGCCTATGGTAGTACTATTTGTATAAGATGGTGAGAAGAGCTCTCTCTGTATATCTCTGCCTCTATCTCTCTCTGTGCAGAAGCAACACTTAAACAAGTCCACGTGGAAACAAATGAGGTGGGCATTCTGGAGAAAAGAATTGCAACCAGAAGAAAAAGCAAGAATAAAAGGCTTGAGAGGATAGGCTGCCACACAGCGCTACATACTAGCATATATACATACCAGTATAGACAGGAAGGTATATGGTAAGATAGGATCCAGGTCAACAGAGTTCCAAGCCTTTGCAGATAAGTTGTTTCTTATTCAGGGCAAGGCAGGTGGCTTCTGGAAGGATGGAACTTCTCTGTAGTTTGGAAAGACTCACTGTGGCTCCTGTGAAGAGTTGGGATAAAGGTAAGAGTATAGAGACCAGTCTGCATCACTAGGGCTCAATTGATTTGTTCCTCTAAGCTTTTTTCTACTGTCCAGTGATGTAGACATTGCTAATACAGAGCATTCAAAGGAAACAAGAAAGCCAGAGCCGGTTAACTCACATGAAGCATTGTATACACTTTGCTGTCTGTTCGGGGATATGTGGGTAGAGCAAGACAAAAAAAAGTAAGGTGAGTCTAGACACTAGTACCCCCACTGCAATCCGGCTACTTCTGAGTCAATGACATATCTAGAATTATACAAAGTAATTTTGTTACCCACTTGTCAGCTTATTTGTACCTTTGCCTTGTCTACGACCTCTGCATCACAGCATTTCTGCCCTATTGCCAGCAGTTCCTCCTATCTGATATATTATGTTTTCTCTTTTCCTACCTGCTACTCTACTGGACTGAGCTGTGAAATTTTATTTGCTCTTGCTAGTTCTACTACAGGGCCTCTGCATGTGTGGTCATATTGAGCCAGAAAACCTTCTCCTTCCCTTTACTAGTCCTGACCCTCTCTAGTGTGTAAGAGTTGACACAAGTCTCACGGGAAGCCTCCCTTTCTGTCTCTTCAATCCCAGCCTGGCTCTTCTTTCATCCACCAAGGCCACTACTCCATGATCTGTGCCTACCGGTGCTAATTTGATCTGGCTTTGTTAGCTTTCCTCCTTCACTCCCTAGACAGTCCGTCCCTTGACTTCTCACGGCACACTTTGGACAACGCTGGCCAAACGGTTTACCATTCGTGGTATGTCTCACTCTGGTTAGTGAGACTTTTTTCAGATAACTGAAGTTGAGTCTGTCCAATGCCAAATGAATATAGTAAGCTCTTTTTAATAGGCGTCTTTCTGAAATGTATTTGACATTTCCAGAAATTCTTGATTCCCATCTGCCGTGCCAAACTACATAACTTCAGAATCACTCAGCGATGTACTCGTACACACCCATTAGCATCCTCAGAAGCATCACCATTCTGTAGCCCGTTTCAGGTCTCTATTTCTCTCAGTTTCTTATGATGTCAACTGTGCTGTTGTTCAAAACTCATGCGTTTGTCTCTCCCAAATGCCTTTACCAACCATTGTTTTTCAAGACAGTGTGTTTCTTTTTCAGGAAGCCAGATCATGGCAAGTCTCCAGAAAATACTTTATGCATACCTTGGGGGTAGCTAGGTTCTACCTTAGGCAGTGGATTACATTGTGGTGACCTCAACTAGCCTTGCATCTTTTCAGGCATGCCTGTAATGCAGAATGACCGCCATAAAGGCAGGCAAATGCTAAAGTTACAATAAACCATTTGGGGCCGTGGCTCTGTGGGGAGGAGGGATGTGTAGGAAATTCCAGAAAAATGCCAAGACCGTAGAAGAATTCACCAGGAAGAAGAGGCAGGGAGGTGATTTTCCAGCCTACGGAGTGGCCAACTGATGGAAACCCAGAAGCTGAACTCTAAGCTTTGAGGGAAACCAAGAATAGTGCATTTGATGGTTAAGGCTGGGACTTGCTGCCAGCTACTGTGGATGCTGCATGAAGCTCTTCCAATGAGTTCAAGTCCAAAAAGACCCTGAATGTGTCGGGTTGCTGGGAAATGGGTCTGTGGATAAATAGGTTCTGACTGTGCTTGGCCTATTGTCTGTTTGAGAGGACCTTGACCATCACCTTTCTTAAGGCATGAAAATACAATATGCTTCAAAAATCAATGATACTAGCCAATGGTGAGGGGAACTGTTGGAGAGAGTATTTTATGATGCTCTGAGATTCCGGTACCGGAAGGTCTCTTGGACCTATTCCGTTTTACCTTTCTTATTTGAGACTGGATGATGTGATTTAAAGATGTGCACTAGGTTCAGGCTTTGCCTAAACTGATACCAGGTGTCAGATGCGGGCCAGCATTCTAGCTATCCTGGATCCTTATCTCTTGTGCTTATTCTGCTACTAAAATGTGCCCTCGAAAACAAAAGCTACGCAGAAGACACATAGACTGAGTGTGTGGTACAGTTAGCCCGCCCGAGCAGAGCCAGCCCCTATTGCTGGGGCTGACAACAGAGTGTGAATCAAACATGTTTAGCCACAGCAATAGGACAGCATGGCGTCTCCTGGGGATCAGAGCATCAGAAACTGTCTGCAGTGACGATCTATCCTTCCTCCTTATCCTCCTGCCTCCGAGCTCCTTCTACCTCTGCATCCACTTTCTCAAATGCTTCCAGCAATGGCACATGTTATTATACCCTCTCTATGATCTCTCATAGCTAACTTTCCCTCCACACTGACTGGGAAGACCCAGACGACTCCTCTCTACTATGTTTTACCATCTGGAAACAGCTGGTTAATTCTTCACCTCTGAGTTCACAACGCAATCTGTAGTTATCTTCTCTTCTGTGCGAGGGGCGCTTAGATACTGATTTCTCAGTGACTCGAGCAGTGTCTAACACAAGACAGCAGGTGCTAGGTGACCATTTGGGTTTCGTTAGGGACTGCAAGAATAGACCAGAGACGAAAACGCCATCATGTGTGTAGAAGGAGAGGCTCTGAACAGTACTCTCAGAGGGGCACTCTATCCTCTGAAGGCTTTCATTTTTAATAAACAACACAGGCATAATTTCAGCATGTTTTCAGAAATATTTGTACCCACTAGTTACCGAGGCTAGAGTAGCATACAGACCCACAGAAGTCTCTTAATCTTATGAAACTACTGTGTCCTGGGGATATGGGTTCGTGCATATATTCACAACATACATACGCATCTTTGTCTTGGATAGAATGTGAGGGCTTTGGTAAGCTCCCTGAAATGTAGAAATGCAGAAGTAAAATCAGGACAAAGAGAAGAGGACAGGAAATTGTCATTTCTACAAAGCAGTCAAGAAAAGTATGCTAGAAGAGATCGCACCTGGAGAGACTAAAGACTTGTGATGGGGGAGTGGTCCTGGCTGGGAGGAAGAAGTAGAGCAGTTACAGGCAGATTTGAAGACCTGTAGGTGGGAGGTTACTGGAGTCTTTCAAGAACAGTATGGATGCCTGAGTTGTTGGTGATGAATGGATGGATGGAGGGAAGGAGGGAGGGAGGGAGGGATGGGTAGATGAATGGATGGAGGGGTGTATGAATAGAGGGATGCATGGATGGAGGGATGGAAGGATGCGTGGATGGATAGAGGGATAGTGGGAGGGAGGGAGGGATAGATGGATGGAGGGATCGTAGGAGGGAGGAAGGGAGGAAAAGAGGGATGGATGGATGGGTGAGGAGGGACAAGAAGGAGAGTGTGGAATGGTGAAATGGGTCAGGTCAGGAAGAAGCATGGGCTATAATGGGAGAATGGAAGAGAAAGGTCTCTATGTGTCAAGGAACTTAGCGTCAGTGTACAGAATAGTACAGTATAGCGCAGTTTAATATTTTTTCTACCACTGACTAGACAATGACTACAGACATTTAAGTCACAGAAATGACAAAGGGAAGGGCTAATGGTAATGGCAATATAGAGCTCCTGGTGCTGTGCCCTGCAGACCTGGCTGGTGTTGTTTAGATACATCCCAAAGACAGAGAGGGTGTGCACTTGGATGGACCCACATCCCTAGGTAAACACCTGCAGCAAGGGCTTAGCCATCTGCCTGGATTCACCACGTCTCGACGCACAGACTACACAAGCAGCTGCTGTTGAAGCATGCTAAAACACCCCAGCTTGTCACGTCTGTGGATGCCCTTTACCACCAGCCTGGGTGCCTCTCATCTGTGGCCCAGAGACGCACTTGACCTGTGCTCAGCTGTGCCGAGTTCTTTGTCTTCTCAGTGTCATGAGGCAAAACTATAGAGATGACATGGACCAGCCACAAACAGCCCCCACTGTGTGATGCTGCCGTGTCTCTTGCTTTATGATGGGTGAAATCTCACCTTTTTCCATGTTCTGAAGACATTCTTCTCCTAATGATCAGCTGTCACTCTGTCTTTGTGAGGTAGGTAATGGAATTATTTTTAAAGCTTTCACTTAACAGTTTTGCTTCTTGCAAAAAGACCCGCTTGAGGAATGTAAGTGTCTTTAGATAGGGAAATGACAACCGTCAATGACATTAAGAATCTTTCTTACCTGTCCTGTTAAACATATAAAATATAAATCCCTCTTGCATGTGACAGCCATTTCGATTCTTCCTGTACGTCGCAGAGAACACAGCTAGCAGTCACAGGGAGGTATGTAGAGCTAGGTCGGGGGCTATGTTTAAAGGCCTTTTAACTGTGCTGTTTAAGAAAAACTGCTGCCTCTGGGGGTTAGAAGATCCTTGTTACTGGGGATGATCAAGAGGAGACCATTAGGCAGGATGTAAGAGACAGAGAGCACGTCAGTCAGGGAACTGAACAAGCTGTCTTCAAAAAGAGCTTCCTGCTCGGAGATCGTCCCCCATTAGAATAATCTTCCCTTAATCTGAATTTTCTGTTACAGAAGACAGATCAGAAGATTGTCAATGCCATTTTAATTGCCATGTGCCTTTGCCAATAAGATAAGGCCCATCAGGGTCTGACTACATCCGAACAAATGGACTTGCCGTGGCACAGAGGGATGCATAGGGTCTTCCTGCCCCCGAGGGGTGGGAAGGGAAGGAAAGAGTTCCCTCCATAGATGCTTTGTGTGTATACCTGTGTGTGTGTGTGTGTGTGTGTGTGTGTGTGTGAGAGAGAGAGAGAGAGAGAGAGAGAGAGAGAAGGAGAGAGAAGGAGAGGGAGGGAGGGGGAGAGAGGGAGAGGGAGGGAGACCCTCGGCTTCACCCATACTCACCTACACTGAGTTCTTCATCTTCTAAAACACATTTTCTATGGGAAAAAAAATCACAGGTTTATTTCCTCTTAGTAGTTTATATTTAGAAATGGGTTTGGTACCACAATTTAGCTTTTATCCAAGTATGCAATTTCTTTGTGATTAAATGATATAATCCATTATTTTACAAAGAATTTTCTTCCAGATAAACTGATTGAGACTA